TTCGCGTTGGCTCTTACGGGTTAAATCCGAACTGGGCTCACGGTGGCCGTAGAGGTCTATCCTACGTTAAAACTGAAACATGACTAAAATCGAGCTTAAAAGGGATTAATTTGATATTTCCTTCTCGGGCGTCATTGTGTCCCTAATGATTGACATTGGGAGCTAATTTATAATTGAAGTTGGACTGGTAAAATTCATTTCGTTAAGTATATATTGCAACAGTTTTCTTTCTTCAGCATTCGGTTTAATCCAAGAAGGTGAGGATTTGGATTACTTCTTAAAAGAATTCATTGGTACGTATGGGGCAGAAACTCTTGCAATTAGGTAAATCAAAGGTTGCTAAAAACCTAGTAGATGCACCATTTCTTGTGATCTAACTTCTCTCTTTGAACAACTGGAGTTGAATTGAGTTCTACTGTAGTTTGCAATCTCATGCCACTTTCAGTAAAATACTAACCTCTAAGGGGTCTGTTGTGAACTTCGTATCAAGCAAATCTAGGCACGATTCCATTGCATAGAATGAGTTTTTTCATCTTGAACATAGACTGACATAGAACATTATATACAACATAAACTTTCTTACATTTGGAATGATACATTTATTCTTTTCTGAGAATGATACATTTATTCTTTTCTGAGAATGATACATTTATTCTTTTCTGAGAAGAGATGGCAAGGAATCAGAAGAAATGCGCGAACAGGGTTGCCTATGATTTGAACATCATTTCCAATGAGAAATCTCATTATTAGTTGAAGGCTCTCCTTGAACCACAACAACCCAGCGATTTTTGCCACTGATGAGAAAGAAGGTAATCTTGACAGGCTATATGGAAAAGATGAAGAACATTAGTCAGAATATGACATAACTTGTACACTTTGATTTGGTCTGTTCGGTGGAGAGCTTTTCCTTGACGAAATCGTGATGCTAAGGAGACAAAATACATATGCTGTTTCAATTCGGTGACTAACCTCGCACCAAGGCTGGGAATGTTCCCATTTACGTGCTAAGCAAAGAGTAAGAAGGATGTAACTTGGATTGCGCACCATGTATCCGAACCCTTGCTATCATTTTACAACTAGAATTTGGGAGAATCGACAAATCATCATATCAGTTAAATAAGTGGGCGACTCTATCAAAGGCCAACCTTGATGGCAGCTTGACGACAGAAACTTTAAGGCAGATTTGAATTCTCCGCA